ACAGAAGGACTTCTTCCCGGGGAAGCTGTGGAGATGGATTCTAGTGTCTAACATGTATTGAGGGCCTGACTCACTCAGGCATTTTATCTGTAATTACTCACTGGTCTTCATAACAACCATCTGAAGTAGGTATAGTTACTAACCTCATCTCATAGATGAGGAACCCCAGCAAAAGGATAGCAAAGACTATGCCTTTTGTCATATTTCTGGAGAACAGAAGAGCGAGGAACGCTACTCCCCAGGTCCTTGTTCTTAGCCATTATGCAAAACTGTCTCTTTTCAAGTGAAGGGCTGTGGGGTGGGGAAGGAGACAAAGACAGTGTTAGAGGTCAAGACTAACAAAGATATGACGTAAGGTATCCTGGCTAGGTAAGCCGTGAGTCCCAGTCAGGAATTCTGGGTAATGACCCTAGACTATTGAGTTAACTTTGGGATAGTAACTAATGTTTCAGTGTCTCAATTTCAGCATTGGAAAAATTGCGTTATTGGCACTGCCTCTTCTAGCTTCTCGCCAGTCAAAAATGTTATTCCTTAGAGTATTACTAACATTCTTAGCAGAACTACTAGCTAAGGGGATCAAGGGATAAGAGAAACTCATCCTCTTAACAAACATTTCTTCTGTTGCAAAATGGGAGGAGGAAGCTTGGTTTCCAGAGGCCTCGAACTCTGCAATTATTTGCAGATCTTATGCAGTGTCATTCAGGTATGGAGTCTGCTTTTCTTCTTTCTCCAGCTTTTAGACTCACTGGAGAACTTCTCAAAGCTTGTGAACCTCACTGTCAAATACTCTATCCGTCTTAAAAAGGAAGCAGCTTTGGGGAGTATAGTACAGGTTCCTAAAAACAGGAACAGGCATCTTTAAGAAACAATCTTTCTGATTGGCATTTCTGTCTGCCACCTTAGTTCATCCAGTGTAAGGCTTAGATCTGGACCTTACTGAAAATGAAAATGCTGCCCATGAATTATTCTAGAGGTGAAATATTGACATCAATTTAATTCAGTTTGCCTCCAAGGCATTAATCTGGTTTCATTTCATTGAAAGAAAATTTTGTTGAAGAACTTTGTGTCAGGGACAAAGTTAATCAAAAGGTGTAAGGATTTTCTTTCCTTCTTCAGGAAGGTCTCTTTTAACTAAACTGACACTTAGCCACCTACACTGTTTCTATAGTAATATCTTATTAACCAGGGTCTTCTAAACCCAAAAAATAAGCCTAGGCTACCAGCCTANGTAATCTCTTATTAACCAGGGTCTTCTAAACCCAAAAAATAAGCCTAGGCTACCAGCCTAGGAAACATTCAATATTCTCATCTTCTGTATGAAGCCATATTTTTTATTTCCTTGCCTTAGTAATTTAAAACTATTGCTCAGTGACCCAGTGCTTCTCCTTCTAAACATATTTGTTGAAAAGAACTTTGGTATATGCTATAGCTCAGAGTACAATATCAACATTTGAGAAGGAAATTATATATTTGGCAAATTCTCCTCCCATTTTGGGAATCCAGGTGTAGATCTATGGAATGTTATTATAAAGTATCCCTGGGTTCTATTAGACTTTTGTTTTCCATTGATTGCTATTATGTACAAGAGGCCAAAGCAATTAAAGGTGGTATCAATAATCTAAAAAGAAAATGTCATAGAACAATTAAAATGGCAGCTGGAAATTAGCTGCACTGTGCAATAGATCAATACGTGTTACAAAATCAAAATGAATATGAGCATTTGAACTTAAAAACATGGAAGAAATGGCAGCATAATTTTTCGCTCTAGTGCCATTATATAACTTACTTCTTAAACTGTAAGGAAAAATACAATAGCAAGTGTTAGTGGAATTAGTCTGTCTTATACAAAGATTCAGGGACTTCCCTGGTGGTCCAGTGGTTAAAACTCTGAGCTCCCAATGCATAGGGCCTGGGTTCAGTCCCTGATCAAAGAACTACATCCCACATGCCAGTCAGTGTGTTAAACACACACACACAGGCAGATAACCAGCCTTTGGAAAGTTTATCATTACCTTATTCAAAATATTTTAATAAGTATATTCAGCCCCAATGCCCCAACCTACCTTAAGACCAAGAAGGAAGAAAGTATCTTTTCAAGATTTGATTGATTGGTGGTGGTTGCCTATGGAGCCAGGTTGAAAAAAATTGTGAGGCTAAACCAAGACTCACCTAGAAAGACTGCTGGGACCAATTGTGGTATCCACCATGGATATTTAGGGTTGGGAACGGGTGGTAGAAAACATTATAAATATTTGTCCATCTTAAATCTCAAGGCACGTTTGTGGAACGTGAGTGATACGTGTGAGCATTCTTACACATGAAGGCACGTTTGTGGAACGTGAGTGATACGTGTGAGCATTCTTACACATGTCTCTTAGGACACACATCAGTGAGCGACCACTAGGTTGTGTGTGTTAGTCCCTTAGTCATGTCCAGCTCTTTGCGATCCCACGGACTGTAGCCCACCAGGCTCCTCTGTCCATGGAATTCTCCAGGCAAGGATACTGGAGTGGGTTACCATTCCCATCTCCAGGAGATCTTCCCAACCCAGGGATCGAACCTGGGTCTCCTGCATTACAGNGTAGAGAATGCAAATATTCAACTTTACAAGATAATACCAAATTGCTTTTCAGAGTGACTTTACTAGTTCACACTTCTACTAGCAATGAGGACTCTCCGATATGGAGAAATTTCTGTAACTGTAAGTGCCAGAGATAGATTTGGATGTAGACATATCTTCAGAGAATTCTGTTTACATTGCATTAACTACCTAGGGATATAGCTCACAAGACTCAAGGAAAAGAAGCTTGCTCAAGAGGTTTGAGGTAAAAATAAACATATGACAGAACTCCAAGTAAATTCTAGTGGCAATGGAACAATTTTGACCAAAATTGAGGTTTCTGTCTGGAGCTTATCACATAAAGAATGAGAATTCTGGATTTGAGAGATAGTGTTGAGAATGGTAACCAGTTAGAGTTGAATGAGTCCAGCTTCAGAGAACAAATCTGGCACTTTGCACATGAATTACCAGTTTCCACCTTAAAGGTTAACTTTAAGTAACTTTTCTTAAAGGTTAACTTTAAGTAACCTTTAAAAGTAACTTTGCTTGCTTCAGTATTTTCTTGGTAGGCTGAAGTTAAAACAGTCCACAGAGGGAAAGGTAAAGCCCTATTCTAGGACATTCTTGATCCATGGATAGAAAGTTGTCTTCCATTTGGGGATATACAGTTTGGTTTTGTTACAATGATAAACAACATGTTTTAAAATGTATTAGGAATGGTTTTCAACTATATCTGCAGTAAGCAAGTGAGGTGAAAACATCTAAAAATGTTCTAACTTGACATATATTGATAACACAAAATGGGAAGATAATAGGTTAAATTAATTGCCTTTTATGCCCTATATTTATAAATACCAGCCTCTATGCATTTAAGCTGAATCAAGATTTTTAAATCTCTTGACACTGAAAGAAAAAAGTGAACTTTTTCCAAGCCACACAGAAAATACATTTTATAAGTTGCCTCTTCTGTGTTGCTTTGATTTTTTTCAATATTGTAACATATGATATAAAACTTAAAGAATCAGAAATAGTCCTAAGACATATTCGCTTCTCAAACACATCAGTTGATTCTCAAATTTAAAATGAGTCCTAGGTTTTGATATAAAATTGCCAAATTCTTTTTTAATCTCAACCCTAAATCAACTTTTTAAAATCTGTTATCTCACTGAATTTTTTTGGTTTCATTTTTTATCTTTGGTGAAATTAAACTTTACATTAGATTTGACTTTTATGAAACATCCAAATTCTAACTTCTTGCATAGTTTCTATTTTTATTCATTATAAACAAAAATATTATTCTTATTAGGGAGAATTATTTTTCCCTAAGACTATTAAGCACTCAATATTAATTTTTAGGTTTCAAAAATCACAAAATTTACTTAAGAATTCCTCTTTAAAGGGTAATATCAGATCGAAGGCTACCAGTTAAACATCTGTTTCAAAAGAAGCATCAGTAATCTTGCTGACCTTTATGTACCATATTCCATTGATATTCAGCCAATAACATATTATTTGGTCCAAGGTGGTTTGTTTCGCTTTCAGTGGCATCATTTGGTTTCATCTCATTTTAACGCAGCGTCAACAACTTTTAAATCCCCATGACAGCTCCTTATAGCATTCGTGTGTGTGTGTGAGAGTGTGTGTGTATGAATGGGCATGAGCCATCTTTTTCATATTCAAGCTACTGCTGAAGACAAGGTCATCATCCACAGGTCCAAGTAGCTAATTAGGCCCACAATGTGCAGGCAGGGATGCACGCGGGCTGTTGTAGCAGGTTCTTCATCCCTGCTGTGAAATGCCCACTTCGCATTGTCAGTCGTTACAACTCTGTCTCTTCCTCTCAGGCTTCTTTGGGACAGATTCATCTGCCCCCACTCGTAAGAGCCAGCATTCAATTTGGTTTTGGTTTTCTAAATTGCATAGACAGGTTCTGTTAAAGTGCTTCAGTCAGTTATGGTGAAGCATTTTCCTCACACCCCCCTTCACCATGGAGCCAATTCATTAGCCACACAACATGGCTCCTTATCTGTTATGAAGTAACAAATAAAACGAAGTGAAGAAATCCCAAGCAAATTCAAAGTGTAGACATATTCAACAGTTTTGATTCCGATTCCAGTGGCGCTTCACTTCCAAGCCAATGACAAATGAGATAGGGCGGCTGTCTGGAATGTGGTCATTTATCACCCATTAGGTAAAACCTCTATCACAACCGCTATCACAAAAGCTTTCGGTAATTAGGAAAATGTGCAATTCTGTCCAGCCTCTCTTTCTAAACTTACTGGGAGCCCTGTGCTGTGATTCTGAGGCACAAGGCTTGCTTACGAATTATCAAAACAAACCACACTGAAATGTGTAATCGATTCTTTAAACTGGGCACAGAGCCCAGGAATGAAAATTCTCTGACCTGTTATAACTAATGTTACCACCATTACCTCTTCCTTCAATTATTCAGGCTTCTTCCAGGCCCAGACTGGATTCCTGCTGACAGTAATGTGGAACACACTCATTAATCATTTTCTTGTCATTGTCTTCTGGCAGGGGGAAGGGAGTGATGCTCGCTACCAAAAATAGAATGCCTTTTCTCTCTGATAAATAGGAGAAAACTGTAATGAATATGTTGTCCTGTCATGGGCAATTCCATCTTTAATTGTCTTGAGAAGAAGCATATCATATTGGTGCTATGCATCTATGTATCATAGGCATACAGTACTAAAGACATAAATAGATAGTGAGTTAAAATAAGTGCTTTTAAAAATGACTATGTGAACATAAACTTTAGCTATACTAATAATTTCTGAGTCACAGAACATTGAATTTTTTAAGCAATAAATGTTTGATGCATAAAGGCTGACATTTAAGTTTTCATTATGTACATGAAAAAAACCCATTTGTGTGTGTGTGTGTGTTTGTGCATACAAGAACATTTTTATCTCCCTATATTTGTTTACATTTGTTTGTAAAACCCATCATGCTGGATCACAACTTTCAAAGATTTCCAGAAGGTTGTCATTACACACAAACCCAACATAATAATAGCATCATAAAGTCTATCATTTTGAAGAGAAGGAATCACTGCTAAAACCCATCTAGTCACATGTCTTCATTTTATAAGTGAGGAAGTTGAAGCTCAGATAATTTTTATTCAAGAGACTACAAATCCTTACTGACACAGGCTCCCAGCATGGATTGTTTTTCCTAATCCTGTGTGTCCATGTGCCCACTCTGGCTTAATGTGAAGTCTCAAGCAAGGAGGCAAGACACTCAGTGCTCCCGGATCATCTGTTCAAACCCTGATATACACTAGTTTGGGTTTAGTGAGAGAGCATCAGCCCATTTTTCAGTTGAGAAAACAGAGCTAGAAAAGTTAAGTTGAGCTAGTTAGTTAGAGGCAGACTAGTCAGTCAGAGTTAGGCAGAGTAGGGGTTGGTATCCAGGCTGCCTGGCATCTTAACAACAAGAAGTGAACAGGATTACTATGCTCAGATGCCTGATAGTCAGCTCCATTTCTCTTCTTTTATTCAGAAAAAAATATATGTATGGAGAAGGAAATGGCAACCCAGCCACTCTTCTTGTTTAGAGAATCCCATGGACAGAGGAGCCTGGCAGGCTACAGTCCATGGAGTCGCAAAGAGTAAGACACGACTTGGCAGCTGAACAACAGCAATGATACACACACACACACACACACACACACACACACACACAGACATATATATATGGGCTTCCCTGATAGCTCAGTTGGTAAAGAATCCGCCCGCAATGCAGGACACATCGGTTCGATTCCTGGGTCAGGAAGATCCACTGGAAAAGGGATAGGCTACCCACTCTAGGATTCTTGCCTGGAAAATTCCATGGACTATACAGGGTCCATGTGTGTGTGTGTGTGTGTGTGTGTATGTTTCTTTTTTGGTGTAACTGTAAAAATGGCTATGTTTGTCTTTATACAGGTGTAAGTTAAGGACTGAAACTTATGTGACTCATGTGTTTGAAAACATCACTTGGATTATTCTGCCAGTGAGTCTTCCTGGCGGTCTCTGGGAGTCATTCTAGGGCTGCATGCTTAGAAAGATGGTTCTTGAATCACTCCAATTAACTTTTAGTTTCATCTATCACCACCTCTCACTTCTATAAAATGACATACCAAAAGCAAACACTTACGGTTTTCAACATACTGGCCTGTGGATGAAAAGTGTTAGCGAATCAATTTAGTTGATATGTACATAAAGAGAATAGCTTGAGGGAGGTCAGCCACCACCCACTGTGTCATAGAGTCAAGTGGGAAAAAAAGAGACAATCACCCATTATTTAAAACTCACCATCTGTTTTGCAAGTTGTTTTCTTCACCCTTCCTTTCATATTTCATCTTTTATGACTTTTCTTTTCTCTATACAGTATTACCTTTCACAAAACAGAGAAACCAAAATCTATTTGTTCAGTAAATTAGCTTGTTACATTGCCCTGATAAATAATTTCCCACTGATGAAATGAACCACAGGTTGACAAGCACGGGGATATAGGATACATGGATCTAGGTCTGTGTCCTAATTCTGCTCCAAATAAGAAAAAGCTGGGTTCCCTTGGGTAAGTCACTTAACCTCTCTGAGCCTATTTCTTCACTTGTAAAATTGATAATCATCAACCGGAGTAATTTCAAGACACAAAGAAGAAGAAACTATATGTGACAGTGCTTAGTAAATTAAGTTCTACATAACTGTTATTTTTTAATGTTATCAGATGTTAATTAGTTTCTAATCTTGTTTCATATGACAAAGTAAAATTAATGACTATTCTACAGATATGGGCTTCCCAAGTGGCTCACTGGTAAAGAATCTGCCTGCCAATGCAGGAGAAGTGGGTTCAATCGCTGGGTTGGGAAGATCTTCTCGAGTACTAAGTGGCAAGCCACTCCAGTATTCTTGCCTGGAAAACTCCACGGACATAGGAGCCTGGTGGGCTACAGCCTATAGGGTCACAAAGAGTCAGACACAACTGAGCATAGAGGCACACATTGGTATAGATTGCACTATAATATTTATATGTTCCAACTTTTGCCAACAGTAACTTGAAAATTTACTTTAGCATTTGATACCTAAACCAAATGTTAATGAAATAAATCACTGTAGCATGTAACTCAATTCACATCTTGGCTGATTGGTTTGACATAGAGTCAGTGATAGTCTGGAAAGAATATCTGCTTGCAGAATATCTGCTTGGGCCTGGAAAAGGCCCAAGTGTAAATTGCATTTATAAAGTTTATCTGCCATCAAAACCTATCTAGATTTCAACTAAAATTTATAGCACTCTTGGTTCCACCCTCTCATCAGAGCTTCAGGCCACATTGGGTATTCTTATCTTTGTGTGTCTTATCTGATTGACTGGAGCAGAAAGAGAAATTATGTTCTACTTCCTGCTGTCCTGTGTTTCTGAGCTAAAAGTGTCTGGCCCCAGGTTGTCACCATAAGTGAGCCCAGACATTTCTCAAAATCATTCAAGTGCCTTTATTGTGGAGAGGTTTCCACAAGAGTTTTTCCAGAGCTCATCTTCAGAAAGTTTACAATCTTCTGATAAAAAAAAAAAAAAAACATAAACTACTTTGGAAGAGCAGCATATCAACCAAAGTAAATGGCAGCACACACACTTCTAAAGTCAGAAGAGGTTTAGAGTCAAATGTCACTGAAATGCAGGTCACAAATTCAGAAGTAATAGCACTATTTTAAAAGGTGGGTTAAGGGAGGTGGTGAAAGTGAAGATAAGCTTGTGAAGAAAAAAAAAAAAACAGTATTGTTCACATCAAATGAAGTTCCCAAATTGTTTCTTATAACATTCAAGGATCCTCTTTGCCCTGACAATGAAGCTCAAACCTCTACTCAAAGCATAATTCACTGGACAAGTAGTTATGGAATAGTGCCCTGGGCCAGGTAGTGGGGAGACCATACCAAACGCAGAGTTTCTGGGACTGCTCTTTTACAGCTCACCCACATCTTGCTCTAGAGAGGAACTACATACCCCTATAAAGTTCCCCAACAATCTTCTTGTTTTTCTGCTTACTTGCCTTTGCTCTTCAAAGAATGACCTTCTATTTCCTTTGAAATCCTTCTCATCTTTCAAGGCTTAGCTCAAAGGCACTGCCTTCATAAACTTTGACTAATAAACCTTTTGGGGTCAATTTCCAAAGCCCTTGACTTTACCTCTGTAGTTACTGATACAACAACATATGATAGACTGGGTGGCTTATAATCAACAAAAATTTATTTCTCACAGTTCCAGAGGCTGAGAAGTTCAAGATCAAAGCGCCAACAGATTCAATGTCTGGTGAAAGTCCACTTCTTGGTTCAAAGGTGGCCATCTTCTTACTGTGTCCACAGATCGCAGAAGGGGCAATAGAGCTCTCTGGAGCCTTTTTTATGATGTCACTAATCCCATTCTCGAGGGTTCTACCCTCGTAACCGAACACATCCTTGAGGCCCCACTCCTAATGCCATTGCACTGGGGGTTAGGTTTCAACATCTGAACTTGAAGGAAACAGAAATATTCAATCTGTAGCAACCCCTATTATTAATAATTGTAATTGATTGATTAATTAATATTTAGTTAATAAAAATTCATTCATTAGGCAGCATGTCATAAATGGAAGGAAAGTATATGCTGGTAACATGGTTCATTAGAGGATTCAACAAAAGCTGTTCCCACACACATCAGGATTATCTCTGTTCCTCCCCTGATCTTCCCAAGGAGATGATATCACATGTTTGATCCTAGTGGCAGTTGAGTCAGTAAGGCCAGCCCCCAAGCACTGCTGACAATTTTGAAGTAGACGAATAACAAATATGAAGACAAAATAATGAGATTGCGGTTCTGTTCACAACCTAGTTGTGAAGTTCAGTTCAGTTCAGTTCAGTCACTCAGTCATGTCCGACTCTTTGCAACCCCATGAATCGCAGCATGCCAGGCCTCCCTGTCCATCACCAACTCCCAGAGTCCACCCAAACCCATGTCCATTGAGTCAGTGATGCCATCCAACCATCTCATCCTCTNTTCCTTTTTCCCTTTTGTGGCCTGAGGGAAATCATGTCCTTAAGCCCTAGCTAATCATCAGAGTGAACTTGGACCCCAAGGAGAGAACAACCCATTAAAAGGATGTAACAGTCATTTGAGATTCAGATTTATCACACCTTTTCAATTTTCTCTTGGGAGAAATCTATTTAGAAATAATGAATAATTAAAATTAATATTAAAAATATTTTTTAAATGCCTATTGAAAGTCTCAATTTTTTATTTCCTTGTAATTTATAATGAGTGCTGGGAATTGGGAGCCCATAGCAAATTCCAAGCTCTTATTTTTCACAAGACTTCTTCACAAGGGATAGTTGGTAGGGTTTTCTTCACTCTTTTTTTAGTGTAACTCTCCAACTGTAGTGGGAAAAGCGCCTACAAATATTGCTAATGGGTGAGAAACTGCACATTCTCTGGTAACTGGTGAGAAGCCAAGTACTGAGTGAACACTACTATTTCCAAAATGATTTATGTGAAAGAGCCCAAAACTATGGTTAACAGTCCTTCACTTTGCCCTATTTGATAAGAAATTGCTTTTAGTAACAGGCAGGTTGTCTGCCCAGTTTTTCACCTACTGATGAACTTCACTTTGCCTCTTATTACGGTTAATGCATTAGGCATGCTAAGCAGCTCTCTTCTGTAATAGGAAGTAGGAAATTCTGCAGGATCTGCAGGCAACCTGTGATGGGAGAGAGTCTTTTGAGACCATAACCTATGACTCTGATGAGGAGTCTCTCTCTGACTTCTTCAACCCCACAATTATATTCCATTAGAAAATGGAGGGATCAACCATGATTCTTAAGTAGTTAGCCAAAGAACCAACTGATTTAAGCTGGAAAGGAATGTATTAAGGACTCTAGATAGCTTTTGACATTGCTTGGAGGACGGACAACCAGACTTGGAGGCTTTGTGGCCACATGTAACATCCACTTTACTCAGGAGCATGGTCCCAAGAGAGACCAGTACATTTGGCGACACAGATATGAGCCGTGGATACACCTTCAGTCTCCCCTCTGCTGGCTCTGGGAGCCCTGTGTCTCTGGGGCTGCCTTTGTCACAATGGGTTCTTCTTGGTGCTTGCTTCTGCTCATCACTACCTTCCGGGTCTATGACTTGTAAGTAAATGTCTGGTTGACAGCACCTAGATTCCCTGCTTAGGGAATTCAAAGGTGCCAGACTGCCAAGAAGAATGACAGAAGTCCAGTCTTCCTTGGTTTCTCAGCAGAGCTGGAGCATCAGCCAACATTCTAAGTCAGGGAGAAACAAGAAGATCAGGAGGGTATGGTGTGTTTCTGTTCAACTCCTCCATTCCCACGGAACCCTTACCACTTGTTCTTGACTTATTAACTGAGTGTCCTTGAGCCAATTACTCAATATTTCTAGTCCAAGCCATCCATCCGCCTGACTGGAGGCCCTCCATTTGCGCTCACACCCTCCAACAGCTCATTTCCATGCCTAGTTGAGCTTTAACAACATAAGACTGATGATGATATGTCTATGCTTAAGACATTCCAAAAACTGCCTAGACACGCCGTATGACAGCCTGCAAGACCCTACAGGAAGTGGTCTCTGCCTAGACTCCCTTCAAGGCATCTCAGACCATCCTTCCCTTCACTAACTGTTCCTCAGCCCCACTGATTCTCTAATACAGGCAAGTATGACTCGGAGCCTTTGTCCTGTGGTTTCCCATACGGGTAATGTTCTAACGCCAAATCACCACCTGGGTGAACCCTTCTCATCATTCAGGTCTCAGCTCAAATGCCATTTCCTCAGAGAGATTTTCCTGACCCCCCTATTTAAATTGGACACCTCTCCCAACTTCTTATACCATACTGTCTTTTTAAAACCATAGTTATTATCAATACCTAGATTATCTTATTTATCTATTTATCAAACTATCTATTTTCTGTTTGCACTACTGAAAAATGAGGTTTATCTTGGTATCTCCAGTGTTTAGAACTGTGCCAAATTCCTGAGCTTCTGGCTCAATTCCTTCCACACTCTTCTCATTCCAGACTTCCTTCTGCCCCACTTCCTTGCACCCTAACTGAGTTCCTGTCATGTGTTTGAGCAGATGGGACCTCCCACTTCCCGTGAAGCAGATGGTGTTGTTCATGGCTAGTGTATCAGGGTATCAGTAGTCTGGTTATTGAGCACATGACCAGTCTATAGGCTGTGAAGCTGGGAAAAAATTGAGTGGGAGAATGAAGAAGAAAGACTGGCAATGTAAGGCAGGCCGGAAGTCATGTGGGCAAAGATGTGACAAAGGTGGCTATGGATACAGGGTTGATAACAAGAGTCAAGAGTTGGTTGACTTGCTGTCTAGCAAGGGCCTGACCTCAGCAGTCATGTCTTCCTAGATGAGCACAGCAGAAAAGAGTAAACAGGACCAGGCATATAAACTATGTGTCTCATCAAAGATCTATTTCTTAGAGACACAAAGACAGCAGGATTAGCTACAACATCCATATGCTTGGTAAAACTTCTTGTTATTAATAATACCAAGTCCCAAAAGTCAGGGTAATCCAAATGGAAAACGGGCCTATTTGGGCTTGGATTATCCCAGTGACATCTGGACTATATGAACTTTCTTAGCTTCAAAAGAGAGATGGCATCTTTTACCTTCAAGTAAAGTTCTATTTTAATTATCTCCTTTTACTACTTAGCTGAACTGACTCCACCTTAAGTAAACCAGCAAACAAGCACATCCTCAAACAGAAGTGTGTCCTCAGACAGGCATCCACACTGGCAATGTCAGGCAGGCCGGAAGTCATGTGGGCAAAGATGTGACAAAGGTGGCTATGGATACAGGGTTGATAACAAGAGTCAAGAGTTGGTTGACTTGCTGTCTAGCAAGGGCCTGACCTCAGCAGTCATGTCTTCCTAGATGAGCACAGCAGAGAGGAGTAAACAGGACCAGGCATATAAACTGTCTCATCAAAGATCTATTTCTTAGAGACACAAAGACAGCAGGATTAGCTACAACATCCATATGCTTGGTAAAACTTCTTGTTATTAATAATACCAAGTCCCAAAAGTCAGGGTAATCCAAATGGAAAAGGGGCCTATTTGGGCTTGGATTATCCCAGTGACATCTGGACTATATGAACTTGCTTAGCTTCAAAAGAGATATGGCATCTTTTACCTTCAAGTAAAGTTCTATTTTAATTATCTCCTTTTACTACTTAGCTGAACTGACTCCACCTTAAGTAAACCAGCAAACAAGCACATCCTCAAACAGAAGTGTGTCCTCAGACAGGCATCCACTGAGATCCCTACATCTTAGACCCTGAATGTTGTGATGAGTGGATGAGTTGGGTAATAGTTTTAAGTCTCAACTACTTTCTCTTAATTATTTGAAATATCTAGATAATTACTTGCATTTCATTCTGCTAATGGAGAATTAGACATGATGTTATAAAATGTGGTTTGTGGTTTGCAGTTGTGTTACCCTAACCCCATAAAGAAGTCCAAATCTCCTACTCTCTAATCGAAAAACTTACCAGGGCCCAGGAGTATCGAATGCCAAGTGATGAGTGAGTGGGCAGGGAAGAGTTCAACCTCTTAGTTCTTCCACTCTGCCCTTGGTTCTCCTGACTGAAGGTTTACATCCTTGTCCCTCCAAACCATCTTTCCTCTCCCGTTGATTGTTAGATAAGTTTCTGCTTTCTCTTTCCTCCCCCCAGGGCCAGTAATGTCTAGTCCTTCCCTGCCTGGGGAGAAAAGAACCTTCCAGCTAGCTTCTCACCTGTCACTTAGGTGGATGACTTGTTTGAATCATTGTTTCTACTTTGATGTGAGGTGGTAGAAGGAGAAAATCCCTCCTGGATCAAGAGCAAGAAGGGGAAATAAAAGCCAAAAACAACCACATTATTGTTTGGAGATACAGCATTGACAAGGTTGCCAACAATGGAAACCACATGAGGTATTTAGATAAACAAAGGTCACTTCATTATAGGAGGAAAGGTTTCTTTCCTCTTTCTATAGCAGGGAAAGGCTGGGATGCTGGCAGACCTCAAAAGTAACCATGATGTAGAGATTCATGCTCTCTCTGAACCCATTTTCTCCATCTTGCCTCTTGTCTCTGTTGGACATCTTTCCCTCTCTCACCCTCTCACTCTTCTCTCTTGCTTTCTAGCTCTTTCTCTCCTTCTGGCGCTTACTGTAGTCCTCAGCCTACTCTGACTGTGTCTTAGCCGGCTTCCACTGCTTCTCTGGTGCATGTAGAAGAATCATGGCATGGATGCTTCTTGGATTTACCTGTTACAGGTCGAGCCACCAAATCCCCAGGGAAAGGACTTTGACAAGCCTACTGAGTTAATGTTACATGAACATGGCAGCCAGAGACAGCACTTCATCCATGTGAAAGAGTCACAGAAGGGAAGACCAAGGGACCAAAGTTGAGTGGCACATACAACAGATATCTACCATGGAATTTACTCATGATGCATGGCACATGGTCTTCCCAATGTGTGAGTGTCCTACAAAGAGGGGCAGCAGACCCTTGGAAACAGATCTTTCTGAAATCCGTATCAGCCATACTTAACTAAAGATGGGATCCTGCTTTTATCATTTCAATTGTGAGAAATCTATTGGTGCTCTGTGTGACTGCCCACAAGATTAATGCTTTATTTTACATTTTTAACAGATGGAGAGCTTTCTTCATGTACTATAATTCTTATGTCTAGAGCCAGATGGAGTAAGGGAATTAGAAAATAACGATG